TCATTTTTTTCATTATGACCATTGAATGTTTGTTTTTTTTTAATTTTTTCGTTTAACTTCATACTTAAATTTTAATAAAAGTTATTATTTGCGGAAGTTGAATGACCGAAAATTATACAGTGCGTCTGTCCGTTCTGTAGCTACGGGGTATCCGTGAGAGGGAAAACAATATTCTCTCGATGTTTTTCGTAAAAAATTAGAGGACGCGTCCCATCAATAAAAATTCGACAAATTTGCAAGTGGCCAATAAAATGAGTGGGCGGAGCGATTTGCGGTGTCGTACTCGTCAAATCGACGTATAAAATATATTGCTGTTTATTTAAATGTTTTTTGTCCGCATTCCTTTCATAGCACTTTAACTACAGCTATTAATTTCTATATATAAAGTACGTCTGCTGGATCTGTGTCTATGAAAGGAATGCGGACAAAAAACATTTAAATAAACGACAATATATTTTATACGTCGACTTGACGAGTACGTCACCGCAAATCGCTCCGCCCACTCATTTTATTGGCTACTTGCAAATGTGTTGAATGAAATTGTTGAATTTTTATTGATGGGACGCGTCGTCTATTTTTTTACGAAAAACATCGAGAGAATATCGTTTCCCCTCTCACGGATACCCCGTAGCTGCAGAACGGACAGACGTACTGTAGGTATAGTCTATAAAATGAATAACTTTGAATTTTGACCGTTATTTTTTACCAACATGGCAAATATAAAAGCCCTCTATCCAAAAAGTTACTGATATTCTTTAAAATGAGTGCCTGAACGAATCAGATAGGTAACTCTTTTTACTTTCGTGAAATAGAAAAGGAAAATTATAAAACAAGTGACAGTTCTTCCTCTTCTTGCAAAAATCAACGCGAAATGTCATAATTGACAAAAGTAAAATGTCATCAGCCTTTGACATTTCTAAATATCAAACCAATGCCGTCTCTAATAGAACAGCCTTGGGCAGATTTATGACGTCACGCTAGTTAGATACCAGGATTAATAAATATGTTGTAGAATACACGGAAAACATAATTATTCCTCGTATTTTTGGTTTGTATTTTAAAAATGATATAGTTTACATGAACTATACATAATATACAGTTAATAAATACAATATATATACCTATTTATAGTAATAAATACTTTGGCAAATAAACTATGAACCATACAAATGCATCCAATGTTTTACAATATACAAATAATGAATAGGTACATAAGATAATGGGTAAAATGTAAAATATATTTTAAATTTTGGGGTTTGAAAATCGATTTAATTTAACAAAAAACATTCAATATCTACTAATAGTGGTGTATTATTATTTGCATTCACAAAATTTATATGTATATTTTGCAAGCATCAATGTGCGAAAAATTATATTTGCAAATAATACAATATCATAGAAAAAAAGGCGTCAGCGATGGCTATGAAATGAAGATCGCTGTCATTTTATATGTAAAATTATTCTAAAATTTTTGATTTTTTGGGATTTAGGTTCGGGAAAAACGCTGATTAAGTTTACATTTGGTTTTTCATTATTTTTTTTTGGTTTAAAAAAAAACGTTACAGCTAACGTTTATAGCCTTCATTAGTGCTGTGTCATATGAAAAAAATGTCGAATGTAAATGTGTCGAATATAATCCAAAAAATTACATATACGAGGAATGTTTTCCATGTATTCTACAACATAATTAATCCGTAGCATCTAACTAGCGTGACGTCAGAAATCTCGCTCCGAGGCTGTTCTATTAGAGACGGCATTGCATCAGCATGGCCCGCAAGTTGCTAACCTAATAAAACTAACACTAGAAAAGCCCGCGGGAACTGTCAAATTCAAAGTTATTCGTTTTACAGACTATATATTACCACATTATACAAACCACTATTTCTGTTTACTCTGGAAAACATTTTAATTTAAAAATACGAAAGGAAATTTTAAAAATCCTCGCTCAGTATCATTTGAAAATGGGCGATTTAGGGTTACATATTAAATTATAAATAAACTTTCATTCCTATGATGGAATTATATGATGAAAGGGTAAATTATCAAATGAATTATATTGATACTTGTACATTTAAATAATAATTAATCTGTTATTAACGTATTTAACATTCTATGATCTACAGATTCATTTAATGTATCCAGTGGATTATTTAACTTTTTTTAATATTTACATTTTTGAAATTTTTACCAATGTATATTTTTTAAATAGATTATCCTGTATATTTGTTAAAAATGATTTTCTATTGAGTCTATTTTAGAATTTAGAATGAGTGGGAGGGGGGTTAATCACTTCGACCTTACAGATCCATTGTGTCCGCCTTTCTTGAATCATAACTCATCATACAGTCCCAGGGCTTTGACAAAAGCCAGTATCTGGGACGGTTTTATAGAGGGTAGTTCTCCATCTCCAATATCAGTCGTACCAAAATTCATGGCACGAATGGTTGTCGTCTCGGCGCACTCAGTGATGAGGTGTACTGGTGTTTCCCCATCTTTCCCACAGAATCTGCATTCGCCGTTTCTTCTTAGTTTCAATCTACTGAGGTGTCCATTGAGGAGACAGTGTCCTGTTAAAAACCCCGTGACAATCCGAAGATTGTTCTTACTCAGAAAGATCTGTGATTTTTCTTGATCATAAGCCCTCAGAAACTTCTTCGAGTGTCTTAGACCATTGCAAGATTTCCATTCCAGGTTGCGGATGGAATCTTCCAAGTTCTTCAGTTCCGCCTTGAGTTGGTTACCACTTGGAAAGCAGAACGGTTCTGGTCCAGTTAGTGGAGTGTTCGCTCCTTTCCTAGCTAGATTATTTGCTTTTTCATTGCCTTCTATCCCTTGGTGAGCAGGCACCCAGTGTAGGAGGACTTTGTTTTCTTTGCCTAATTTATTCAGCTTCTCTATGCATTCTTTGACAAATTTCGAATTGATTGATTCTAAAAAAATTCTAATTGAGTCTATACAGGGTGGTCCAAGTTATGAAAACTTTGGCAGCATATTCTGCAATATAAAAATCGGTTAAAAAGTGCGTATTAATTTATGTCCCAAAATGCTTCGTTTCGCAGATACAGGTGGTAGAACTTTAATTTTGATTTTCGTCATTGCCAAATAATGTCTGACCTATCGATATACGCATATAGATGAAAACTGTTGTCTGGGTGTTTTTTTTGACATGAGAAACTTGTTTTCGATATCAATATAACTCCTACTTGTAGGGGGCTCCACCTACATATTTTTTAACTGATTTGAAGACTAATAACTTTTTGCCCGTACTTGTATTAAACGAGTGTGTAAGAAAATATACATTTCCGTAATTTTTTACGTAAAAAATGTGGGGGAAAAATGTCACTTGGTAAAATTGCTACGAATAACCCACAAAACATCCCCCTTTAGAACTTCGTCTGTCATGTTAAGAAATGAAAGTAAATAATAAAGCGCCTCACGTTTTTTTCGCACTCAAAAAATTTCAATTAATGCCTGTATATATTTTAATATATTTTTTAAATTTACATTTTTTTAATTGTAAAGTAATATATTACATTTAAATGGAATATATTACATAAAAATAAAAAATTTTTTAAAAATTCCCTATCCGCGTTTGCTCTTTCCATCATATCAAAACAAAACGCCTGCCGCCGTATTTCGTCCCCATCTCGTAGCTCTTGGTGCTTTTCATATTTGAAGGAATAGTATTTATGTCGTTTCAAAATTCGAAACGCTGTAGTGTGATCTATTCCTTTTTCATCCTCAAGTTTCCTTGTGCTGATCTTTCCATCGCCATCGTTCTCTTCCACGCACAATAAAACTTCCAAGTCGGTATCATTTCTTGCATCTTCTCTTTGTTCCTCACCTCTTGCTTCACATCTGCAGTTATTTATCAGGGTGCCTTTGGTCTCAAATCTCTGGATATGCCTTGCGATTGTAGATTTTCCAGGTATCGGTCTATTCAGATACAGAGCAGCAAACATGTCCGACACCTTTTGATAACTATTTCCTTGATAATACCATTTAATCATCAATACTGTTACGTTTTTCGTCGGTTCCGTGTGGATAGAAAGTCACAATTTATTTAAACACTATTTATTTAACACTAATTAACAAAAATAATAACGATAAAAGACTTATAGAACTATTTACAAACGATTTATAACTAAGAATTTATTTTGAATTTTAGCGCGTCAACTGTATATTTATAACTGCCCTCTCTAGGCCACTGCCATAGAAGCTTTTATACTGACAGGTAAAAAGAAATCTAGAATAGTCCAAAGATCGTTAGGCGCATAGAGAAGGTTTTCGAATGTTCTCGTATGTACGAGTCCATTCTAGTGGGTCTCGATTCTTCTCGAACGAATGAATCATTGCGGTGTCTGTGCGATGTTAAGGTCATCCGAGGGCGGGCCATATTGTGAGGTTAGGTCGAGTCCACACCGGCTCGCAACAATACTTTTTCTTCGGTAGTGTAATTCATGGCTAATATTTTCGATGTAGGTATAAGTTTTTAATAATAATAATAAAGCAATTAATAGATAAATTTCTGAAATGACAACTTCATTTGACAGTGAACTTTTACCTTGACTGGTGCTCATAAAGGTAAACACAGGGCCATAAGAAACGAGAAATATTTAAAAAGAAATCGGCGATAACTCGTAAACGGGCTAATCAAAAATATCTGAAGTTATTCTTTTGAATGTGGGTTTTAGTACTTTTAATAAACTTAAATAGAATTATTCTCTAAAATAATTAGGGAAGTCAATAATTGACCCCATTAAAATTTACATGGGATTTCCTATGTCCCTCTCGACGATGCAACACCCCGTATAACTTTTTGTTTTATTATTATCTGCTACTATACTCACTGAAATTGGGTACACTATTTTTTTACTCCCTGTATAATTTAAGATTCTTGTACCGAAAATGAAAAAGTACTTCGGTATCAAACACTGAAATATCTAAAGCAAATATTTTTTGAAGAAACTTTTTGAGAGATATTGTTGTATTTCTTGCAGGTTTCCTACATGGGGACTCCAGTCATATTCATCGCCATTTTTCTCCTACAGTCAGTCCTGTCATATTCGGATGACCTCTTCGAAAACTTTGACGGTACCTCGTTCGTCGCGGTAGATGATCCAGATGTGGACGCGTACAACGAACGGAAACAGCAACGGAACGACAAGTTTCTCCGGTTCGGGAGACGATTCTGGGACTTCGACAGCGACAACGACGGCCCCTTCGACGACAGCGAGGGGGCGCCCAGACCGCCGAGAACAGGAAGGCAAGAGAAAAACGATCACTTTATTAGATTCGGGCGTAGTAAACAGGATTTTTTGCGGTAGGAGCAGCCATAGACTTAAAATAAAATATAGACTACACTATTTACATCTCAACGCGGACAAACAATATTTTTTGTACACATGTTTACTTCTGGGTACAGTCGACCGAGCCTTCCTCATCCAGCCTATGTTGTCACGTCTTTAATATTATCGATATTTTTTTTCTTGTTATTAAATTGATTTATTTTAAGTTATTAATTGATTATTTTTATCTTGTTTTAAAAAGGATAAGTTCTTGACAATATGACAACACCGATTAGAGGCGAGGGAGCCTATTCATTCATTTATTACCTTGTAGTACGTGTCGCACGTGTGCGGTAAAGCTTTGTTTCCGCTATCTCCCCGGCTGTATTAACGCATTTTCTTAGCTTGTAGTCCTTAAGTGTTTAATTTTATTGACTTTTTCTGTTCAAGAACTATAAAATATGGTTTGCCAGTGCCAAATTTGCAAGAAATTTGACTTAAATAATCCATTTAAAGTCTTGAAACGACTTTTGACCGGTAGGCAACTCTCAATTTACCCATTGGGAGCCAGTGGCGTTGTTGTAGAAAGGCGCTTATTTAGATAATATTTTAGTAAAATGTAAAATTTGAATTTTTTCTCTTACGTTACATTATTTACTTACTTACATTGTAACAAAATCATAATTATAACCCTGTTAATAATTAATAATGTTTTTTATTAAAAATATATTCCGGTTTATTCTAAAATTATCTTCAGAATCTAAAATAACATACAAGAATTTTAAAATGATATTACATGATGAAACAATATTTTTTAATATACCGGGTGGTCTCAAAAGTGGCTCACCCCCTATAACTTTTTTATTTTTTCAGATAAAAAAACAGATTTGTATGTTAGTAGGTATATGACATAAATTAGGATTTATTGACGTATTCAATTGTTTTTGGTCTTTTCCTGTTTCACCGAAATGATTACATCTTTTGGTTTTTAAAGGCACCCTCGGTATATTGCTACTTTATTCGATAAAAAATGACACTCTGAATAGAATAACATATCATATGTCAACTTTTGACATTGTCGCTTAAAAACAAATCGTATTTTAAATTTCAATCCAGGGTGCCATAGTGTTGTTAAAAACACTAAGTTTTAATCAAGGAGCCTTGGAAAAATAGTTTTGATCGTCTAATGGGTTTCGTGTCTTTTCTAGGCCGGTTAAAAGATGTACAAATCGTATTTTTAATCATACATATATCAATTTTCTTAAATGGAATAAGGGTGACTCATTAGCATATTTGGAAAAAGCATTTTTTTATGATATATTGATACCACACGCTTGGTATTTCGGGTCAAATTGTCGTTATGAACCGCGTGTTACAATTACAATTAAACCATATGCGAAAATGTCAAAAGTTGACATATGATATGTCATTCTATCCAGAGTGTCATTTTCTATCGAATAAAGTAGAAATATACCGAGGGTGCCGTTTAAAAATTAAAAGTTATAGACATTTCCGGTGAAACAGGAAGTGACCAAAAACAATTGAATGCGCAATCAATCCTAATTTATGTCATATACTAACATACTAAATCCTGTTTTTTTATTTGAAAATATAAAAAAAATTATGGGGGATGAGCCATTTTGGGACGCACCCGGTAAAATAAAGACAGTACCGAGTTAAATAAATGTAGTTTTCATTTTATCCACTTCCAATCACCTTTCCTTGCTTTAATGGATTGGATTTATATTTTCTCTAAATTACATAAGACATAACTTAACCAGAAAAAAATTACAACAATCATATATTATTTTTTTTCTCTCCTATCGCCGATTCTATTATATCTATTGGAATAGATCCTGTTTTGATTAATATTAGGGGTTGTAAATGTTTGACTAAAATTAATAATTTGTTATTAATTTCAAATACGTAATTTCGATTATAAATTTCTTCTATAACGTGTATTTTATAATTTTTATCCTTTTGGACTCTAAAACGTTTTTTTCTAAACTTTTATTTAAAAAAACCTGTCTAAATCTTAATAAAAATAAAAAGTTTAAATACGATATATTTTTTAATTTAATTATAGCTTCATTAAAATAAAAAAATTACCCGGCTATGATACGGAGAGTTCAGGTGTACTTGAGAAACGAAAGACAGTGTTGTGTTTCTCGGCAGAGTCGTCAGGGAACGACCGTTACGACAGAGACAACCTATCTATCGCTCGTGTCGCACTCGTTATAACCTAAAACAATTATTATTATTTATAAGATTTTTTTTTCATAAACGTGGGACTAAGAACATCATCATTTAGTACAATGAGAGTACTCATCATTTGTGTCAAATAAACCTAGTTTGAATAAATTGCTTACAATAAAAGAGAAGTTTTGGATTTTTGTCCTCTAGAGCCATATGTTCGAAGCACTGTGCATCGGTGGAAACATTTTGAAAATGGTTTTAAACGATTCCTCTAGACTTGGCCTGATATGTGTCAAAAGTCCCCGAAGATAGACGATGAACTCGAGGAGTGGGAGGATTAAATATCAATTTTTTCACTTTTTTGCTCATATCTCGGAAACTAAGACATCTACCGAAAAACGCTTTATATACAGGGTGAGCTTCCTACGATGTTCTCTATGGGTATCTCGAAAACTACTGGAGATAGCGAGTCGGTTAAATGGGGAAAGAATTGCAGTTTTGTGGGGTCATAAATATACGCCTTTTAGATTTTTGAAAAAGTTCACGGCTTACTAGATATTTCGAAAAAAACAAATTTTGGCTATTTTAAAAACTGTCCCTAATTCCATTATAATCCATTTTAGACAAAAAGTTTTCAGATAAAAGTTGTAGATAACCACATCCCTAATGAGTTTGTGTTCTCCGATTTTTTCTAAAACCTGTCATTTTTGACATGCGACACAAACATGTGTTTTTTTAAATGGAAACCATAGTTGGCCATGACTTCATAAAAAGCGCCATATTTTAAGCTTTTCAGTGATATAAGCTATAATATGTTTTTTTTCACAAAATTACTGAATTATAGCCAATTCTTATCTTTCTTGACTAATTTCACAGAGGTCTCTTAAGTGATGAAAGTGAGTACTCAGAAGCGAATTTTGGACATTCATCCCCTAATAAATAAGGGATAAAAATTGGAACAAACATTTATTAAAATCGGTTATAGAAGTACAGTACGTCTGTCCGTTCTGTAGCTACGGGGTATCCGTGAGAGGGGAAACGATATTCTCTCGATGTTTTTCGTAAAAAAATAGACGACGCGTCCCATCAATAAAAAATCAACAAATTTGTAAGTAGCCAATAAAATGAGTGGGCGGAGCGAATTGCGGTGACGCACTCGTCAAATCGACGTATAAAATATATTGCTGTTTATTTAAATGTTTTTTGTCCGCATTCCTTTCATAGACACAGATCTAGCAGATGTACTGTATGAAATTCTGCGCAGACGTTTCTTACGTAAACTCCTTTACATAAAAAAGTTGTAGAACACAGGTCAAAAGACTGAGATGTGAGCTAAAAAGTCATAAAAGTGACATTTAACCCCTCTCCTCGAGCTCATTGTCTGTCTTGGGAGACTTTTGACACATATCAGCCCAAGTCTAGAGAAATCATTTAAAACCATTTTCAAAATTGTGGTTTTTTTTCCACTGATTTTTCTAATTTGACTGGGCTAGAATTGTAATCGAATATTTATATCGACTGCCTATTCTATATGTCCTAAAATACTTCATTTTTATTTCAACTTTTCCAAATAATTTCTGAACTTGTCATATGGATGAAAATTGATTAGGTTAGGCAGTATTTTGATATGAGAAATTTGATATTGATGTCAATATGACTTCTACTTGTTAGGGGTGCTACCTACATATTCTTTAACTGGTTTAAATAGTAACTACTTTTTGTCCGCACCTGTATAAAACTACTGAAAATATATATTTCCGCCAATTTTACGAAAAAATACCTCCTGGTAAAAATTGCTACGACTAATGGTTCTCGAGACATTTCCAAACTTTTCCCAAAATTCACTATCCAAGCCCTTAATTATTTTGTGGGTGCTTTTTTTGGCGATTATTTGTTTTTCCGTTATCATACTGAAAATTTGTTGGAAATACTACGAGCCCTAACAACTATATGTTGGGACAAAGTCTTTTTTGCAATAAAAAATAGTAATTTGTTAAAACGACTCAATTTATTTTGTTTATTGTTCTAAATTCAAACATTACAATATGATCTAGACAATTTTACTATATTTTTATAACTTTGCAAACAAATCACTTTTGATAATAGCTTATTTTGCCAAAATCAAGCCAAATTTGCTGACAACTATATATTGGGACAGCACAACAAGAAATTTGTTTAATACGGAGTTACATCACCTTTCGCCTTAACAACTGCCTGAACTCTTAATGGCATTGTATTTACCAAAGATTGGCACATTTGAGGAGAACAATTATCCCAAATTTCCTGCAGTTTTGCCCGCAAATCAAAAATTGTTTGTTGAGGGTGGTTTCTTAAATATTGCTTCATTTTATGCCACACAATTTCTATAACATTGAGGTCCGGACTACTTGCAGGATGGGATAGAACTTTTATATTATTGTTATCGAACCAATTTTTAGTTGATTTTGCTGAATGGCACGATGCTCCATCTTGTTGGAAAATATAGTCTTCGTTTGGAAGCAATTCTTGAGCACTAGGCAAAAGTGAGGTCTCAAGTATATGTTGATATCTTTGGGCGTTAACAGTGCCATCTATAAAATTTAATTTGCCCAAACCTCTTGCTCACATGCAACCCCAAACCATAATCCCCTTAGGAAATTTAACAACCCTCTTTAAGCAATCTTTATGAAAGACTTCTGCTTTATTTCGTATTATTCGTTTTCGATGATCTCCAACGCAAACATCAAATTTATACTCATCGCTAAATATGACCTTATTCCAATCATTTTGCGTCCACGATAATTAGATTTTGCCCAATTGTAGCAATTTTTCTTTTGAATTTCTGTCAATAGCGGTTTTTCTTTGGCCTAAATAAGAATTTGTATCAATAATCTTCAGGTAATTGATTATCCACACAAAATAAAGTTTACCTTGTAAAACCCCAGACCGCATTTGTGGATATATTTTCGGCAACATTCTCTTGATATATTTAAACCAGTTACAGTATTCCATTTAACTGTTACTTCGCGAAGAGTACTTCTTCTCGCAGACTTGCAAATTTTTACTAAATTTCGTAAATCTCTTTGAGATACAACTTTTAGCCTTCCCGAAATTTTACCTCTAACGTCTACGTTGGCAGATTCGCCGTATTTTTTTTATTATATTAAAGAGCGTGGTTTTTGGAATACTTAAATCATCAGAAATTTTTTGAATTGTTTTTCCCGTACTGTATTGACGAATGATAATTTCGCGTAGTTTTTGATTTGTAGCTTTTCTACAGTAAATCTCACTACTTAAAGTATCGAGTCACTTACAATGCTGAAGTAAACAGTTTGCGACATTTGTGACGTTTATAGCAATGCCGCCTATGATGATATTAATTATTTAAAAATACTTGTCCCAATATTTAGTTGTCAGCAAATTTGACCTTTTATGAACAAAATCCGCTACTGTAAATATGGATTGATTTACAAATTCATGAAAATATTGTCAAGTTGTTTAGGATATATGGCTATGTTTATATTTAAAAAATTAAACATATATTTTTCAGTTTTGAAAAACCAGGGCAATAATTCCAAAATATTACCTTGTCCCAACATATAGTTGTTAGGGCTCGTATAAAAAAAATCTCTGAAAATTTGAGCTCTTAATGTTAATATTAAGTAGGTACTCGCCCAAGGCATGTGAAGATTTTCCGTTTAAAATACTCGCAAACTTTGATTTTTTTCTTAATTTCTATAGCTCAGTGGCATGATAGTATTATCACAGATTATACAGATTATAAACTTTGTTTTTTCTTTATTGTTTTCGTGGTTCCAATTTTCGGAATCGGGCACTAGTTAGGTGACTAGTTTGCGCACATAGCACGCCCACTTATGGCCTCTAAAATTGTGCACAGCGCCTGACCGGCACAGTTATTAGAGATATCGGAAAACCGAATAGCGTCATGCAGTATTTACGCGTACCTTATGATGGTTACGATCATAGACTTAAAATAAAATATAGAGAGATATGGGAAAACCGAATAGCGTCATGCAGTATTTACGCGTACCTTATCATGGTTACGATATGCGCGAGTCAATTTTTAACGCAACACCCGCTAATAACGGTACCGCCTGACGTAATTTGCGGATCAATTACACCAAGCGCTAATTCTAAATAACGTTCAAAAATTGCTTAAATGGGCATGCGTTTTATTTTAGGTTATGTTTGAATTGTTTTGAATTATTAGTTTAGCCGAAACAAAGCAGAATCGGACCTATATTGATTTGAAAAATAAACATTATTTCTACGTGGGGAATTTCCCCCCGAAAAGTGGCACAGGCTTTATGAAACACGTTGTATTTTCAGTTTTAGCAGCGATCCCCAGCAGCGTTCCACCAGAGACAAGAGTAGCTTTCTACGGTTCGGCCGCAGCACGAACGAGGACAAGAAAAAACGTGCCAAACGAGCGACTTCCCCACCGGAAAACCTGAAGCGTCACGAAAACTACCTACGCTTTGGCAGGAACTCGAATTTTATGCGATTCGGAAGAGCGCCCCTGTCCGTGGCGTACGCCCATGGCAACCAGCAGCGTCCCAATTATTCCCACGAACTGATGCAGAGACGATTGCCGTTGGATTCTCGTAACGAGCGTTTGCTCTTGAATTATCTGCGAAATCTTATGCAACAACAATCGGAAGGAAAGGAAATTAGCGAAATGTAAGAATATTTCTAAAGTAAAATGTAAGCGGCATTATTATATCAAGTGTATTTTGTCTTATTTGTCGGTGTTATTCCTCTTCACACTATGTCTACCTAACACGAACTGGCTGGATTTTTATTTGATTCGAGAATCATAAAAAATCGTTTAGCTAGACATAACCACCACCAATAATTGGATTTAATAATTTTTATTAAAGGTAATATAAAAATTGTTAAATATACAGGGTGATTTACGGCAATCGTAGGTTAGATGTTTATGGGTAACCGGTGATAGAATTTTTTTTGTAGAGTATCATTAGTATTTTAAATTTAATAAAATGGGTATTAATTATTAAATTAATAAATATGGGTATTACATTCTAAAAACTACTTTCGTTTCTTATAATTTTTCTAGTATACACCTCTGGTGACTTTTTTAGCTGAAATTACTTAAACAAAGAAACAAAAATTCAGTATGTAGAAGCCTCCCCAAACACAAAATCATTAAAAGTTCATTCATTTTCTTTTTTCCGACTTTAGAATATGTGAAATCAGTTACATGAAAACCAGGGAATGCAATCCCGCTCCAAAATCTCAATCCCGCAAACCCGCGGGATTAAAGCAATCAATCCTGCGGATCCGCAAAATTGCGGGACTGTAAACAATAGTCATAGATTTGGTCCTAAATGGTACAAAAGGCATTGTATTTTTTGCATAGGCCCACAATATATTGATATAGCGTGTATCTTAAACTAGCTGTACAGAAATTTGGACCGATGTATACAGAGTCTTCAAAAAATATATTTAATATTAAATAAACTTAAATTTTATTATAATTTTTATAATTTATCTACTTATTTTATAAATAAATATATTATTCTGATGTTGAAGTTTTTTTTAACTTGTTAGTTATCTGCTTTTAGACACACTCTATATCAATAATTTTTTGGTATGTGCGAAATGTACAAAGCTTTTTGTACCATTTAGGACTATACGTATAACTAAAAATGCATATTTTTCGAAAAAAACATCGTATTTTCCTTAAAACAAAAAAAAATAAAAATTGTTTTTTCTAATTTCAATACAGATTAGTCGTAATTGGTAAAAATTTCGATTTTTTAAAAATTGTAAATTTGCGGTAAAAAAGATTCTTAACCAAATTTTCACACTCTTATAAAACACCCTGTATACGAGAATTCACTAAATATATTTCGGAAAACCACAATAGGTGCATTTAAAACCTGGTCCAAACCGCATCCCAAAATCTTTTTAGTTCAAGAGATATTCAACTTTAAATTTACCCTAAAATTTTGCTTGTCCCGATAATTATGTCCGGCAGTTTATTTGACGAAATTGTCCACAAGTACTGGTTAAACGCTTTTCTTCACTTACTCACATACGTCAGAAAGAAATCTAACAACTAACCTGTTTGTTTCACTTATTTTTAATGGCCAAGCCGTAAGGGGAATCCCCCGGGTTCCGAGCGCCGACGCATCGGCCCGGAACGAAGCGGTTTCATCTTGATTGAGATCGATTCGGTTACCCAGTAATAATGTGTCGATCCCGCAGATCCCGCACGGTAAATCCCGCAACTTTGATCCCGCGGAATCTCAGAGGGATCCCGCATTTGCGGGATTGCATTCACTAATGAAAACATTATACCTACTTTACATTTTAAACATTTTTCTATACATAAACAAAAAAAAACTTCTTGAAAAAAAAATATTTCATTATTTTTTATCTTGAAATAAAGTTGTGTTAACTTTAGAATAACTGAAATATAAATGCACGTTTCTGTTTTATATTTTAAACTTTCTTTTGTTTTTCACTTTTAACATAAATACACAAGAAATTTCTTGCGGAAATTCATGTTTATTCTTGAAAGGATTCTAGCGAAATATTAATAAAAATGTCAATCATGAATGAAAACGTTGAAACCAAAGCAATCAAATTCGTATTAATATTAAGCAAAACAAAAGAATTGCGACAAAAAAGGTTTAAACCAAAACAAGCTAATTTGAGTTAAATTTAAGAAAAAAAAACACAAAGTAAAGAAGTTTGTTAGTGTCCATAAACGTCAAACATACCATATCGACGTGAATCACCCTATACAGGGTATTAAAAACCAGTGTAACTAACTTCGAGGGATGATTCAACAGATAAAAATTAATCAAAAAGTTCTTTGAACATATGCCCTAAAATGCTTCCCGAATAAGTTACAGCCCCCAAAATGGTAAATAAAAATAACATACTTTGTTTATTTTTAAGAACATTGGTAAACCGTTTTTCTTCAAATTTGAACAGCCCTGTTCCTATTGGTGGTACTTCTTTAATCCTTATACAGGGTGTTTCAAAACAAATGCGAAAAACTTCAGGGGGTGATTCCTTGTTCAAAATAAAGGGGAGTTTGCTTTATAAACGTTGGGTCAAAAGTCAACCATTAGGGAGATATCGCGGTACAAAGATGGCGGAAAAATAATGTTTTTATTTTTTATCTTGAAAACGAAAAGAGATAGATTAATGAAATTTTATGGAAGCATTACTGTTATGAAAACACCCTCTGGTAATTTTTTCACTTTTTTAAAATGAGTGGAAGGGGTTGAAATAAACTACCCTTATCATTCTTGTTAACGAAATTTAAAGAAAAATCTTATCAAACACATGCAAAAAAATTAATTTGGATAGTTTAGTTTGTTTAGAAACTTTTTTATCTCTTGTGTTTCTTTGATAAAACTCACCGATTTGAAATTAAAAAATAAAATGTAAATCTTCACATGTCAGGACAAAACACATTTTTAGATTAAGAATCTTAGAAAGAAAATAACGATAATAATAATCATCTAGATAATAACGTATTGCGGTAGAGTAATGTCAAATATAATAATATTAGAAACATCCTAAAAAGTAACAGCGGCCGACTAGATTTTTTCCTAAAAAAATTACAGCAGCCCACTAGATTCTTTATCAGAAAATGTTTTTTGCCCTGACATGTAATGCTTTACATTTTATTTTTTAATTTCAAATCGGTGAGTTTTATCAAAAAAAAATACAAGAGATAAAAAGTTTCTAAACAAACTAAACTGTCGAAATTAATTTTTTTGCATGTGTTTGATAAGATTTTTCTTTAAATTTCGTTAACAAGAATGATAGGGGTAGTTTATTTCAACCCCTTCCACTCATTTTAAAAAAGTGAAAAAATTACCAGAAAGGGTGTTTTCATAACAGCAATGCTTCCATAAAATTTCATTAGTCTATCTCTTTTCGTTTTCAAGATAAAAAATAAAAACATTATTTTTCCGCCATCTTTGTACCGCGATATCTCCCTAATGGTTGACTTTTGACCCAACGTTTATGAAGATCACAAACTACCCTTTATTTTGAACAAGGAATCACCCCCTGAAGTTTTTCGCATTTGTTTTGAAACACCCTGTATATACAGTAATTTCATCGAAAACAAGAAAAACGGGTTTCAACTGTTGCTAAAAATTAACAAAGTAGGTATATTATTTTTATTTTCCCTTTTTCGAGAGCTGTAACTTCTTCGGAAAGAATTAGCCACCGAAGTACACTATTGTTTTGACACCCTGTATAGGCTGTTTTTGTTTTAGTAACGCACTGTAGTTCAAAAAGTTTGCCTTATTTAGTTGTCTAAATAAAAACTGTTCTTTTATGTTAGTAGTAAATAGGAATATTCTTCTCCTAGGCAAATAATTAACTTTATTGAATTATAAACAAAATAAGAGTTGTTTAAAATTGCTTTTAACTTTTTGAACGACCGTGTTTGTAGTATTTACACTATCATTGTGATAAAACAATTATTGTATTTATTTATAAAAAAATATATTATATATTTACCTAATAAATTATATTATTGTCATCCTCCATTGGATTAGAATCAATCTTCTCTGTTTCTATTATATCCTTTCATTCATATTTTATGTACTAGGTATATTAAATTTAAGTACAGGTACATGCAATTTGTACTCGTAAAGTTTAAAATGAATAAATATAATGACATTCTTTTACTAGTTTATTTTATTTTAAACACACACTGCTACACACAACCAAACTTATTCATCTATTATTATTTTAACGGTTCTGGTCCAGTTAGTGGAGTGTTCGCTCCTTTCCTAGCTAGATTATTTGCTTTTTCATTGCCTTCTATCCCTTGGTGAGCAGGCACCCAGAGTAGGAGGACTTTGTTTTCTTTGCCTAATTTATTCAGCTTCTCTATGCATCCTTTGACCAATTTCGAATTGATTGATACTGAGTTGATCGCTTTTAACGCTGCTTGACTATCAGACAAGATGGCTATTTCTTGTTTCCGATAGTTCCTATCTAAGATAAGTTGTACGCATCTTTCGATAGCGTAGATTTCTGCCTGTAGGATACTAGGGTAAGTGCCCATTGGTTCGGAGTATTTAGCTCTCGGCCCAAACACTCCGATCCCTGTTCCCGTATTGGTTTTGGAAGCATCAGTATACCAAGTTATGGTATGGTCTTTTAACTGCTGGGCAAGCGTTTCGCTCTTCCAATCCTTTTTATTGCTCAATACTACATTGAGATGTTTCTCAAAGCTGTACGTTCTTGGCATATCGTCCACTGGGAGTTGCAGGAGTGGTATTTCCTTTATGAGGGTGTTCCACGCCCCTGAACTGACAATTCTCCCAGTACTAATTCCGTTAGTGACCATTCTAATCATTGTCGCACTGGCATATCTACCAATGACAATGTGCAGTGGGGTTAGATCTAGAATGACCTCCATTGCTGCTGTTGGACAGGTTCTCATGGCTCCTATGATGCAAACGCATGCTAGTCTCTGGACTTTGCATAGGTTTAGCCTTGCCGTCCGTTGCTCTAGTTTTGTGTACCAGGCCACTGCTCCATAAGTAATCATGGGTCTTACTATCATGGTATACAACCAGCGCAAAATGTTAGGGGAGCAGGCCCATCTATTTCCGGCCAGTCTTCTGCATATCATGAGAGCCTTTATGGCTTTGCTGGTGTTCTTAATATGCCTGTTCCACAGGAGTTTACTGTCCAGGGTTATTCCCAGGTATTTAACTTCCTGTGTTGGCAGTATTTCCTTTCCATCTAGTTGGATTCTTTTCAAGTTTTTCAGACTTCGCTTTCTGGTGAATGGCACTATCGCGGTTTTGTCTGAGTTGATACTCAGCCCGACAGTTCTGCACCATCTCTCAGTGATACGGAGTCCTCTTTGGATAATATCAAAGAGATAGGTATAGGAAACCCTAATATAGTTTGAAAGAGTATTTGAATCTGCTTCGGTTTATTTTAAAAAATACAGAGTGATGGATTTGAAATAACGAAGTTTTTATATAAAATATATACTTAAAATAGATCAGCAATTTTTAACACCCCTGTATAAATTTAAGGAAGCAATAACATGTTTCAGTAAAGTTTATTTCTTTACCTTTAAACTCAGCATAAGAATTTATTCTGAAAAATAATGTACAGGGTGTTAATAATCAATTCTATTATAGCATGCAAATTTAAATATCTTTAAACAATATCTCAAAAACCAAAGATTTTAAACATATTTAACCCTTATAATAATTGCCTTTTTTTGGGTACAAGAATCCAAAAATGAAATAAAATACCGGGTGTTCCATAAGAAAAAATATAACTTTGGTATGGATCTTAGTTCTGAAACACCTTGTATATTTCAAAATAATTTTAAATTGTGCACATTGCCTCCCCGCATATACCCATAAAATATTTTGTTTCTAGATCTTTCCGTTTTCGTATAATCAACCGAGGCGAATGATGTGCGCCACCCTGTATAAGTTTATATTTGTGACTATGTCTGTATTGCAATTTTTAAAAACATTGTATTTTTAATCCAAGTCGATAACTTTCATGCCAGTCTCTGTATAATGCTACGATGTCTCCAACAACACAATATTTCCGCTGTTTTAATCAATAAGCTATATTAACTTTATTATTACAGCCATTCTAAGATTCCGTTTCGTCTAGATTTCAAGATTTCTTGTTTGATATATTTCTTTAGTATACATTTTTAAATAAAGAACCTTGATCAATTCTTAAAATATATTATACTCCCATACCTATATTTATAAATATGGATGTACAGGGTGGATCAAATTCGACGCTTTTAAATGGAAACACCCTTTTCTATAGGAGATAGACAAAAACTAATATCGGTGTCTGGAGCTCAATTTTTGTCAAAAACATGGTGGTGAAAACCGCATATCGATATCTGTTACCGTTTCGGAGTTACGGGGTGTTTTTCAAAAATATGCATTTCTAACAAATCGCTGTAACTTTTTTGCTATGGAAAATTTTGTATTTTTATGAAAACACTTCCAAAGCACCTTTTTACGTAGAATTTAATGGTTTAAGTATAATTTTTTTAAAATTAATAGTTTAAGAATTATCAACAGAAAATTTGATTTTTTATACGTGACACCCTGTATATTTTTAATTTATTGAAAAGAATTTAAAATTACCTTTCCAAAAATATAACACACTTGATATTTTGCTCGATTCCTTTTCGAGATATAGAGTATATAAAAATTCGCCCGCTTTAAATAAGTAGGCTTTGAACGGCACCGGCTGTAATGCAAAAAAAATCTAGCTGTGAGCATCAATTAAAACGAAAATAATATTTGCTATGAGAGCCGCAGAATTCTATAACAATTTATAACATTTTAAAACAATTTTAACCAACATCAACACATTTAAACTATATCTAATAACAATAAAAATAAATAGCAAACAAAGACATGAGATTTTGCTACAGGTGTTTGACTTATCGACAGTCTTCTGTTATGGACAGACCGGGCAGTTTTTGAACATTTCTCGCGGAATTCATTAACTCGGTGGGGGTGAAAGATACCCTCTCATAACTGCTAAGTATTTCTAATTCTTGTCTAGATTATACGCAAGAATAAGGAACCTTTATTCTCCCGCAAATATATCCATAGGATTAGATCCATGGGCACTAAGTCAGGCGGCCTCGACGGCCAACGGCTGGGATCTTGGTTAGCTATCCAATTATTCTTGAAATTGGCTGCAAAAATTTGCTGATAACTTCAGCGTTCAGAGGCGGTGCGTCCCCTTGCTGGAAAAATATGTTTTCGAGTTCCATTAAGGGCATATCATCAATAAGGGGTCCTAGATGTGATGTATGGGATTTCTTCTACGGCTGAAGATCATTAATTGACACTTGTTTGTGTTAAGTTCCATTCCATTACGGTTGCACCACTTTGACAGGTGATCTAGATCAGATTGAAGTTGTGAAATGCATGTTGAAAGCAGGAGGCAATGTCATTCACATAGATATTGAAGAGTAGAGGCCCTAGATGTGAACCTTGTGGAACACTAGATGGAACTCTAATTTTGATTAGACTGGAAGCTCTGAACACGCACAATTTGCGCTCACGGATAGAGCGCAATTTGTGCGTGTTCAGAGTAGAGCGCAAATTGTGAGTGTTCAGGTATGAGGCCAACCATACCAAAAGTTGTCCCTGGATTCCAAAATGCTGCAACTTCTTAATAAGGATTTTGTGGTTCACCCTATCGAATGCCTTTGTGAAATCTGTGTATATGGCATGGATGTTGGACCCTTCTTCCAATGAATCCAAGAGAAAATCAGTATATGTGAGCAAGTTAAGCTCAGTGGAGCGATGTGGCAGAAATCCAAATTGTTGGTCTATAAAGCAATTTTTCAAACAAGCAGACAGGTAGTCACATACCAGACTCTCAAATACTTTGGGAATACAACTCAAAATGCTAATAGGCCTGTAATTACTAACCTGGGAATTATCACCAGATTTCAGTATAGGGGTAATGAAGCTTGATTTCCAAGAGATGGGAAAAATTCCTGTTTTTAGGGATTTATTAAAGATGATATGAAGTGGTCTAGAAAATATGAAGCTGCAATGCTTGTTTATTAACAATTATTATTAAAATATGAAGCTGCAAGTGTAATAAATCTTAATCAAATTTACCTTTATTTTAATCGTAGAAACTAAAAGTGTAATAATATACAGGGCTTTCCATTTAAAAAAATACAAATTTGATATTTTGTATTTATTTGGTACACTCTGTATCTTGTAAAAATATTTTTAAATTGTAGCTCTAATAGTCCTTCAACGAACCCAAAACTTACAATTTGTAAAAATCTAATCGTTTCGATTACAGTTATTTACAATACTCCGCGTCGTATGTGGTGAACAACCCTGTATATGATCGGTATAATATATTACACACACAATCAATCCCATTTTTTCATACCCACAAATAACGTAGCTATAAACCGTCATATAGCTACGTTAAAGTTTAATGGAAAACAATTCCGTTACAAGGCTCTAATCTGTATTTTGGATTCCGTAACACACTCGTCTGACCTACATGCATCAAAATGCACATTTTAGGTGTTGTCTAGGAAATCAAATCAAACAATATTATAGTATCCAAGGGATCGGTGGTAGCGCCCGGCCCCGGCCTTGTTTATCAATGTGCTAATTCCGTCAATCGATTCGAATTTCGAAGCTCCGCGCGTATCTATATAGGTATCCAGAAAATGTCCCTTTTATAATTACATAGATTACGGCATTTCTGATGTTTCTCCGTGCGCAAAAGAATTTTTTTTAGGATGTTCCCCGGCAGAGATTATTAAAATGTCCATAAATTTTCATGCGAATCAGGTAAGACGGTGTATGTTCTATTGTAGTAGATTTAAGGTTTCCCTATTTGGGAGAAAGAGCGAATTCAAGGTTGAAAAGGAATCTGATAGATGTATAAGGAAAGAAGGTATCGACTTTGCAAGTTTTGTTATTGAGAGGTCTCGCACGGTATCGGTATTTATTGACGTTGAAAAGTGAGAGCGCTAATTTCGTATTAATGTCATCAGATATTCCAAAAACTTAATTTATTTTTAATATTCATTTTGTGTTTTACCGTATGATCAAAACAAAAACGGCGTCAGCTATGGCTATGAAACGAAGATCGCTGTCATTTTACAGGGTTGTTCACCACATACCACACGGAGTATTGTAGCTAAACGATTAGATTTTTACGAATTGTAAATTTTGGGTTCGTTGAAGGACTATTAGAGCTACAATTTAAAAATATTTTTACAACATACAGAGTGTCCCAAATAAGTAAAAAATATTACAGTAATGTTTTTTTTAAATGGAACACCCTGTATATTATTCTATTTTCAGATTCTACTACGTTCTACGATTGAAATAAAGGTAAATTTGATTAAGGTTTATCACACTTAAAGCTTACCGTTTTTGAAATATTTTCAATTTTGTGAAATTGCAATAAAAAAATTAAAGCCTCATTTCTCCAAGGGTATCAATGTTTTTAATATTAAATATTTACTGACGATTATTTATTGATCAGATATTGGTGTTGCAATAATAAAAATTATGCTACCTTATACAGAGTGTCCAAAAATTTATATTAAATAATTACTATCTTTAAACGGCAATAACTTGTTTAATTTAAATGGAACACCCTGTATATTTTACGTGAATTATATGCACAATTTAATTTTCTATCAAATTGTATTATATTATTTTTTACCTATCTCTTCATGTTTTTGTAGAAAATGCATTTTCTTATAATTTAGACATTTTAGATTTTTTAAAGCAACATATGTGCAAAATGTACAGGTAGTAAAAATAATAATATTGCAAGCCCTTTTGTTTACAAAAAGGAAACTATTTAAATCTTTGTAAAAGAGTATACCAATTAAATAAACCACCATTATATCCGCCCAAAAATTAGATAATTACATGCTTAATTTATTTTTTAATTAATAAATTATTCTAAATAAATGTGGATTTGACTCAGAAGAATCAATATAATAATAAGTTATAAAAATAAACTTTTCTGTTTTTATAAATAAGCATTCGTCAAAAAATGAATTCAAATTTATAAGATGTTACTTTTCACCACACTGTCTAATACACATACAAAATTCAGTTTTTTAGTATTTTGAGCTATTATTATTAATCAACGTAAACAATCAATTAATGTAGTTTGAATACTGGGATCATATTAAATGGTCCTCTTTAACAAAAAAATATTTAAAGTTTTTTTTTTTTTTTAATAAGCGAACTAAATCGACAATTTTAGTATTTCTACCCTTTGAAAATTTGTTCCATCTTTAAAAATAATCTAAAATGTCAATATTCCATGGGTATATTGATAAATGAGGTCTAAATTATTAATTTGAAGAGATAGGTAAGAAGTGGTAATACAATTTGATAGAAAATTAAATTGTGCTTCTGATTCTCGTAAAATATACAGGGTGTTCTACTTAAATTAAACAAGTTATTGCCGTTTAAAGCTAGTAATTATTTAATATAAATTTTTGGACACTCTGTATAATTAAATAAAAAGGTAGTATAATTTTTATTATTGCAACACAATATCTGATCAGTAAATAATCTTCAGTAAATATTTAGTATTAAAAACTTTGATACCCTTGGAGAAATGAAGCCTTAATTTTTTTACTGTAATTTCACAAAATTGAAAATATTTAAAAAACTGTAAGGTTTAAGTGTGATAAACCTTAATCAAATTTACCTTAATCGTAGAATCTAAAAATAAAATAATATACAGGGTGTTCCATTTAAAAAAATGTAACTGTAATCTTTTTTACTTATTTGGGACACTATCTATCTTGTAAAATTATTTTTAAATTGTAGCTCTAATAGTCCTTCAACGAACTCAAAACTTACAATTTGTAAAAATCTAATCGTTTAGCTAAAATACTCCGAGTCGTATGTGGTGAACAACCCTGTATATGAGAAATGTCATCGATCGTTATTTCTCAGCCAACTGGATGCCGTTCGATCATACGGTATTATTGTTAACAAATATACAGAGTTTTCCAGACTAAGTGTGCATTAAAAGATTTTAGAGAACTACAATATCTAGATCGGAGATTTTTTGCACACCATTGTGCAAACTTTCTTAGTTTAAACCAGGGTTGGAAAAAATCATAATTTTTTTAAAAAAATAAAGAAAATCAGATTTTTTCCTGTAGATACACAGATATACAGCAATTTTATTATTCCGTATGCTGAATGAAAATGAATGAATGATGATAAATTAAAAGTAAAAAACACTAACATCGTATCATGTATAAAATTGATTTATAAATATTTGAAATAAGACACAGTTGTTTTCATCGACTTTTATTCAGTCATATAAAAAATAAATAACAACTATTTAATAATAATTTACAGAATCACAATAACAGTCAGTTAAAACTCTCTTCAGTGGTGGTAAGCGATAGCTGGTGCGGCGTAAGATACTTTAGTAATTGCGGGAGCCGCAGCATAAGCAGCTGGTTGGGCATAAGCGGCCGGGTGGGCATAAGCGGCCGGGTGGGCATAAGCGGCCGGGTGGGCATAAGCTGCCGGCTGGGCATAAGCGGCTGGGTGGGCATAAGCAGCCGGAGCAGCGTAAGCTACCGGAGCAGCTACTTTGGCCACAGCTGGAGCAGCGATAGCTTTACGGCAAGCGGTTCTTTGTGTACGACAGCGTTGAAACCATTTACTGGATCGGCAGTGTATTCCACGGTCCTTTTGGTGCCTTAAAAAAGAGAAAGATTTTAGACAGTTATAATTTAAATAAGAAATCAGACGCCATTGATTGTTTTTAGTCTAAGAACCAGTGGCAGGCGACCTATATGTAATTTATAAAATCTGAAATGCTATCCAGTGAGTCTGTCAAACCTGTCAGCCATGAGATGGAGTCTCGCTAAGCCCAGCGAGGTGGACCCTAGCGTTAGAGCGTTTGCACACACACCGGCAAAGCCGGAGCCGTTGCCGGGGCTATCCCCGGCGTCGGCACCGTGTCGGTGATGTCTTTCACACGTTCCGGCAATTATCGGCACCGGTACAGTTTATCAGTAGATATTTTTTCACCGCAAAAGAAAGATGTTTGTTACTACATCAAATAGAAGATATCTCTTTGGTTTATTGTACCTTAGGAGGAAATATCAAAAAAGAAAGAATCCCAGACGATTTTGGATACATATCCTTTGTTGACTGTTAGGTACAGCTGGTTCCAAAAAAAATGAATACGACTGATATTGGAGATGGAGAACTACCCTCTATAAAAACTGTCCTAGATACTGGCTTTTTTTAAAGCCCAGGGGCAGTGTATATTGAGTTATGATTTTGAGAAAGGGGGTTATTGTGGATCTGTAAGGTCGAAGTGATTAACCCCCCTCCCACTCATTCTAAATTCTAAAAAATTCTAAATCATAGAATATACTGCCCGAAATAATAAAAATATGTTTTAAAGCGTATTCAATTTTATTGGATGGAACCAGCTGTACATAGAAGGCAATTTTTATACTCTTTTTGAAAAATTTACCAAGGACAACAATAAATTTTTTAATTATTTTCGTATGAGTATATCATTTGTTTTTTTTATTTTTTTTATTATAGTACGGTAGATTTATACTGGTACGGACGAAAAGTTATAACTCTTCAAAACAGTTGAAACCTTTGAATAAGAAGACTAAGGAAGGAGCATATCAAAAATCTTAGGTACACCGCGATGGGCCTCAAATATGGCCGACTTAAATTCCGGTTTATCAGTGTCGTTCTAATTTTATTTAAAAAATGTAAAACTATGATGTAGGGTAGACGTGGGGTAGACTCAATAATTTGTTGTTTTATTTTACGTTGTGAATAAATGTTGGTAGTTATTAAAATTGTTATAAAAATATATAATTCTAATAAAAATAGATAAGTTATAATAAGTATTTATTAACACAAACATCCGATACGCTACTGAAGCAGGTAAGTCAAATTAACGTATCTAAATTCTTTGACAAGTAATAAATAAAAGTAAGTGAATTTCATAAATGATCGGTTTACTACACGTATGTATATTATATAGTCACTTACTAACGAAAAGTTGTTCCATTATTTCACTCAATTTTTGCCGAGATCTACTGCACGCTACACAACCAACTATTTTAGAGTCTTTTTCGATAAATCGCGATAGTGTCACTGTTAATTTAAGTTCTCCCACAATTTCCATCTAGATTTACTACCTTTATACAACTATCAGTAGTAGAATAAATAATAAATAACATAAAATAAGCTCCGTAAAGACTGACAAATCCACAAAATTTCAAATCAAATTCAAATGTGTCAAATGAATCGTCAAACAGAACTGTCAAGGATCCCCACCCTAGAGTGCTTTTTCCGCCCACCATGCATGAATACATGGATATCATTATGCTCCTTCCTTAGTCTTCTTATTCAAAGGTTGAAACAAACGTTGGTGGCGCCCTCTATAAACAGGAGTCATATTGACACCAAAATCAAATTTCTCATGTCAAAAAACTCCCACACACCAATTTTCATCCAAATATCGATATTAGTTCAGAAATTATTTGGAAAAAATCGGAATAAAACTGAAAGTTCCACACCCTGTATCTCCGAAACTATAAGCATTTCAGGACATATATTTATACGAACTTTTTTACTTATTTTTATCTGCAGAATATGCTGCCGAAGTTTCCGGAATACAGTCCGGACCACCCTGTATATCTTGATTTCTTATACGTACCATCGGGATCGACTACTGAATAGCTTCCTTGCACAACATCTCCGTTTCTAGTTTCGCTCTGAGTTTTGCTGTCTCCGGTGAGCCCATCCTGGAC